GGAGAAGAAGAAGAGAGGAAAGAAAAGAAAAAAGAAAGAAAGAAAAAAAAGTTTTTCATCTTACAAAATTTTTCTACAATTTCTAGAGTGAAATATAGTAAAGTATTAAACAGCCATCCAAAAAACTTGGGGCCTGTTTGGAAAATAGGTTTTTGCCTAAGTTTGTCTCCTACGAGTTTTTTATTAACTTTAACTACAGTAATCACAGAAAATTTCTCAAAATTTTTTACCTACACACTTCAAAATACCTATGTCAGCATATACCTGAGAATATGGAATTTTATTGTAGAGATGTGACCGTTTGAATTGCAATATATTATAGAGATGTGATATATATAAATAAAAAAATGATTGAAAATGTGTTTGAGAAAATTTTTATGTGAAAACTTGCAATCCAAATATGGGTATCTCAAATCACAAATAATTTCCCAGTCTTCACCTGCAATATTTGAGCTTGATTAAAAGGTGGCGTATGTAGTCTAGCATTATTCTTGCTAATGCTCAATATGACTAATTTTTTTTCCTAGCAGGGGAGGCTCCGACTTAAGAAGTGAAGATGGGAAAGGGAGATTTGGATCTAGAGCCTCTAAATCCGAGCATCTCAACCTACAAAATGAACTAGTTTACCACAAAATTATTGTAAAAATACGAAATCATATTTATTGTCCTATTATAGTTAAGTACTTTTTCTCGATTTGTCTTAAATTTTAATAAGATACTAACATCTGGAACCCTGTTAATTAATGCTCTACCCCTGAACTTTCAATCCCAATAATATTGTAGAACCAACTCCAAAAGGCAGAGTTTGAATTTGAATTTATCATACAAGATGCAGTTATTAGAGTAGAAGGACAGTTATTTCTCCATGAGAGGGTGTTAAAAACAGGAGACACCTTTGGAATCCTTTTCTTTCACTCCTTTTTTTTTTTTTCATGCATTTGTGAATCATACAAAATTGTGGAAGTACAACAAATGTAATTGACAAAAAGCATTTTTAAACCTATTTCTATATTATTTTCATGAAGGGCATAATTGTCCATTTTTGTTTTAGCATGTGCATTTTTGCAATTTCAAGCTCATTAATTATTTGGCTTACAAGTTTAATTGTATCAAGCTGGGAAAACATTGAAAGTTTAGAGTGGTGATTACTTCAATTGAACTTTGAGGGGGCCAATTGAGGAAGAGAATTTTTGAAGGGGCGTTTTGTAACTACCCCTTAAAATTTTGGAAGTAGGCGTTTTGGTTGATGACATGTTGTCTGCTAACCAGAAAGATATGATAGTTTAGTTCAACTTGGTCGACATGTGTGAAAGTCTTTATTTAGACTTGGCATTATAACTTTTCTAGGACAATTTGAGATTAGAATTAAAATGTTATCGGTATATTTTGCTTTTTTATTCAATAATTTTGGAGTCTCTCTTTGTAGGCGTGCTAAAAGGTCGCTCAAAACAGGGAAAAAAAAAGGCTAAATATTCAGGTGACATGAATGAGAGTAAATATTATATATGCAATTTATTACAACTTTTCAGGGGAAAAGCTTTCGTAGTTTTAGATTTTCTCATAATTATAAAGAGCCAAAATAAAAACTTTGGTAATTTTGCTTAAAAAATAAGAAAGAAGGAAAGAAAAAAAAAACAATCTTATGATCATCAACATTTTTATTCGACTCAAGAACCATAGTACCATCGCAATAATCCATCTAAAATGAGACACATTACCTCGAAAAACACAAGATTTCTCCCACTTAAGTAATATCGTTAACAAAGGTGAGAATTTTTTTATATTTAAATGGGATAAATTTTATATTTTATGAATTAAAGTGGGGAAGATTTTATTTTTTAGGGATTAAAGTAAATGGACCACTTTAGTCCCTAAAATGTAAGATTCCCCGCCCCCCTCTCCCCAAGTAAAATCGTTGTTAGAAGTAGCACAAATTTTATGCTTACTGAAATAAATTTTATACTTTAGGAATTAAAGCAAGATAGATTTTATACTTAAGGGATTCAAGTGCCCCATAGAAACCAAAGTAAAAATTCAGGCATTGAAGGGTGGAAAGTGAAATTAACCCAGAATTACATGTGATGAGTAAACTAAAAAAGTTTAAATAACTCTTCAATGACCTACAACTCTTTTTTTTTTTTTTGATAATATGACCCACAACTAATTAAAGTACTATACTTTTTGGGAAAAAAAAATCTCATTAAGCGGACTACTAGATTGAGAATTTTTATATATGAATTAGTGTGGTGCATTGAAGTTGCTACCATGTCTTGTTTGTGAAAACTGAAGGTTCCTGCTTTTCTCCTTCTATCATGATCAACGAGCCACCAAAAGAACAATAAAATTAAGCTCGTGTTACACGAGATCATTTTTGTAACACTTTTAATCATCTGCGTGCATGTGGTGTATTGGAGCGCAGGCCAGCAATCATTGTCAGATCAATCATTCTTAAATGGTATAATATTTTTTAAATATTTTGTAAGTCTAAATAAACTGCTTATATATCTTCGTAACAAAGATGTGATATTCTGTTATTGTTTACATGAATTCCATGCATAATAATTATGTCTCTGTTGTGATGTTTTATATGTAGTTCATATAAAATTATATCTCATTCAAAAAATATTATACTATGCAGGACGATTGTCACTGATAACCCATCTATGGTCTTGGTCCAGGGTTTTTTTTTTTTTTTTTTTTGTGGCAATGGTAAAATTTCTGTAACCTAATCTAGGGAGAAAGGGAGGGGATTCAATATGAGCAGAGACTTCGTTCAAGGAAGCCAATTAAGGCACAATTCAAGAAACTACTTATAAAATTGGCCCGGTGTACTGGTTTAGCCACAATTCAAGAAACTGCCCGGTACTAGTGTCGTCAGATATTTCCTGTTGAACTTTGCAATGCCATTAGGTTGAAAGGTCAATATTGATCAATAGAACACAGTGTTGGGTTGGACTTCAAAATGGCAAGGATCGAATCAAAGTTTACGTGCACAATAACAACGAGGAAAATTGGGATCACCAGTTTTAATTGCTTCATCAAAACAAATATGAACTCTTCCAACGCCTTTAATTTTTTAACTTTCTTTTTTGAAAAAAAATACTATCAATTGTAAGTTAGATCTCATCTGGGCTCATCAACATGAGCAAGTTAAAAATAACAATTGAAAGGATCTCATGGAGGTCTTCAAATCCACCAACAACTGACAAATTTTTTGCCTAGAGATTTTTTATGAACTTAATTATACTTTTCACTCTGTTTAGTGAATTCCTTTGCTAGAGTTGTCTAGATATAAACAAGACAAATGGAATTTAATTACTGCCTTAAACGTTCTTTACTCTTAATATGTCATCACATATTTTTTACTCTTAATATTTTTTTTTACCTTTTTTCCTTTTGTCTGGCAAAACAAGTTCATCCTATTTGTTTTAAGCAAACAGGGACTGGCCCCATGTGGCTGGACTTTGGATTGAGTCTGGCTCTCTCTCTATATATTTCAGGAGGGCTCTATGCATATGTGAGGAGGGGCTGTAAACCGTTGAGATAGCTAAGGAGCCTTGAAAGCAGGGCAGTTACAATATCTATTCTCCTTAGCCTAATTCTCTACTTCTTCCAAGAACCAAAAATCACTCTATCAAAAAAGGTTCATGGCTCGTCAAATGTACAACTTCTTCCCAACTGATTTCTTCTTTCCTCCTCCTCAAAAGACAGTTGCTAGAGATCATAGCAATCTTATGGTCAAAACCCTTACAAATAACCATGAAACTGAAGAGATTGCTCAAGTCAAACAGCTCAAGACCATTGTATCAAGTAATCCCTCATCATCGTTGGCCTTGGTTCCAATTGGCAAGAAAAAACAAGATACACCCGAGTAAGCCAGTCTCCGGATGAAACTAGTAGTGGATTTGCAGGAGTTATTGTCAAAGATCTTCCATAATATTCTAATGATATATATAAACTGTTTAAATTTCCTTATGTTGTCATTTTTTCTTTTGCTTTTTATCCTCGTACTCCTCCTCACAGCCTTCCTATCCCTAACTGTCAGATAAATGATGTGAATCTTAAACTCGACTGTGGGGAAGACTCTAAGGCTCATTCTATTATCTTTCTTCTAGTTTGGTTGTAATTAAATGTGTATCGAATAAAGTTACGTCCGAACTTCCTGTTCCTCCTCCCCCTCTCCACCAAAAAAAAAAAAAAAGGGAATAAAGTTGTAGCATTTCATGAGTAGTTATGGTTACAATTGATCAATTCTCGTTTGAGCAAATCTTTAAATTGATTAGGTGTACCAAGCTTACTAGGTAATTCTTGTGCATAGTTGCAAGAGATCTGAAATTATTAGGATGCCCTTCACTTCGAAAACAAAAGGCTAGTCAAACAACTTTTTAAACTTAAAGCATTCCATTACAAGGCTAGCAAATTCATCAAAATTGCTAGAACATAATCAAGTCCACTAAATTGCACCCGTCATACTGGTCCTACTCTTAGCAATTGGCATTAAGCGCAACCAAAGTTCAGAATATAATCAATGGAGGTTGAGGGTAAGGTACGCATTAACTGTTTTTTTGTTTCAACAATCTTGTTTTTTTTTTTTTTTGGTAAAACCATTTAGCAGTTGTCTCTAGATTTGCACTTCTGTGTGTGTGTGTGTGTGTGTTTTTTTTTTTTTCTTTTTTCCTAAGGTTAGATTTGCACTTCTGTTAAATTGGGTGAATTCCTTTTATCCGTAGAGTACAACATTTTGATCAATAGAGAAGCCATTTGAGGGAATGGAGCGTTAGATATGTTTTTTTGGATACACTTTCAGTTTTTTTTTTAATCTGGCGTCTAATATTACCCAAAAAAAAAAATAAAGTCATTTTCGGTAAAAATACCCCGAAATCATCTAATATGGTTGAAGTTCATAGTTAAAAGTCACAAGCATACTTCCGACTTAAAGGAATGGTCAGGAACCATAAGAAAGATGTTCTCTAGAAGAAAAAAAAATTCAACCATTATAATTTTTAGTCTTGAAAAAACCAGACATTCTACTAAAAATATGGTAGGAAAAGGTAGTGCCAATAATTTTCCAAGTTGTATACTACATCTGGTTCAGAAAAATGTCAAGAGAAATTGATAATGCTAATATCTACTAAATCATACCTTATTCAAAGATGTACAACAATTATGCAACTACTATATTGGTCCAAACAAAAGTGAACATATTCGAGCACTAGTACGTTGAAACTTTTCTCTACTGAGAGTGACACATAAAGCTTAGAAAGTGGCAGTTATAAGTTATAACAGAGCCCTGAAAATTCAAGGGCATTTTGGCCCTCCTCTTTTGGTCTTCCAGTTGTTGTAGCAAGGGCAGAACTGTTTGTTCCCATAAGTGCCTGGGGGCACACACAAGCACTTTGCACAACATTTCTGGCAGAAAAACATGCACGGCTTCTTGAATGCTGTTTTTGAACATCTGTATGTGCACCTTGGAGAACACTCTGCAAACCAAATGAATAATTCATGTAGTCAGTCAGGTTTCAGTGGTACTCGTTAATACACCTAAAACACATTCAATTTATCATATAAATGCGTTCATTGACAATTATTGCCGTTCCTTTCATCTATACATTTTTTTCAATTAAACCCTACTTTTTTAATAAACGCCTAAACTCCAAAGTTCATTGGGCACTTGTTAATACCTGTGCTACTATGCATTTTTTTCTTCTTTTTTTTTTTTTTGGGAGTTGGGATTTCACAATGCTTCTTTTTTGCTCCATTTCCTGCTTTTTGTCTGTTTGGGTTTATGGACGTCACGAGTTATAGTAAAAAGTGAAAATTTGGCTTCCAAGTGGCACATTCTCCGAGGAAAAATTGGTGCAGGAAAGTGCATGTTCTCTAGCCTTTTCTTAAACTTTACAACTAACATGCATGTCACTGTTCTTACCTTGAGGATGAAGACTGCCAGGAGTTATACCATGCTGGTCACACAAATAGCAAGATTGAAACAAGATTAGAAACATGATAAAGAGAGGCAATTTCAAAATTGTGGTTGAGATTTTCTTAATTAATGTGTCTCACTGTTGGAAAGAGGCCTGAAGGCTGAGGTTGAGGACTTGGAGATGGAGACTCAGTAATCATCCCCTGTAGTCAAATTGAACATCAGCATCATGTCTAAATTTACATCTACATTTTAACTTGAAAATAATCTGAAGCATGAAATTTGCATGCAATGCTATTGTTTGTATTCAAGTGCGGGATTCCAAGTCCAGTGCTTGGACATGCATTTCATATAATGTAGCAGTATAGCTCAAAGGGATGTGCAGAGACACAGGAATGAAGAGAATTCTTGCTTACATGGTTTCTTGATATCAGTAGAAACAACATTAAAACATGAATAGTTACATTGCTGCTAAGATTCTTCGCCATTGCTTCTCATACAGAGTGGAGAAGAAACTTAGCCACCTTATCTATATACGAGAGAAAGGAAGAGAGAATTGTGTTGAAAGTGATCAGTTGATGTAAAGAATGTGAATGGAGTGTATATATATATATATATATACACTGAAAAGTTTGGAGACCTTCACATACTACTGCTAGTTTGTTTCACGGATTGCCTGTGAAATAAATTTCTGATTTTACCAGATAGTAATAAACTAATCCCTTTGTTCATATAATCCAAAATGACATTCAAATATGTGGAGCAACTTTGTCGCAAATAAGACAACCCCCAATTCTCCAAAATTCGCACTAAAATCAATATTAGATTCATTTCCTTTAGCTATCAAGAACAATCATTGATATGGAATCACAGAGTCGAACTGAATCTGTGAATGCATCATTAAGTTGGAAGGCCGAACTTGACTAATTCGCCCTGACACACATATTACGGAACCAACTGGTAAGTTAATGACCTTAACTCAATAAGAAGGCTAAAATGTTAAAAGTCATAAAAAAAAAAAAGTATATATAACCTAAAATACTAACAAAATGGCTTTGTGAGCAAAATGGTCATTATTTAGGACAAACCTAATCGTTTTTTCAGCACAAGCAAAGGTGGGAATCTATTCATACTTGGCTTATATTCTGCCACATGTCTAGTCCTCATCTCGGAGATGATCAAAAAGCCTTTCATGGTGTGAGTAATTGTTCTTGCAACATCAAATCTATATTGCATAAAAAATAGTGTATAAACCTCGATATTTCTTGCAAAAAATGGCTGCAAAATAATTCATTTTTCATAATTTCATCCTTAACTAATCAAACAAAAGTTAAACATGCTTGGACATTCATTCATTCTTTATCTTGAAGGTTTAAGTTCACATAATACATAGAAGGTAAATAACAAAATCAACTTCCAGAGCTACAGGAGGGGGGAACAAAGTGTTTACTGCAGACCATACAATTTAAAACCGGAAGTAGTTCAGAGAGTAACACATTCAATCCTAAGGCTACCCTCTAAAGTTCCATAAGCCTCTGATCATCCATGTGAAAGCAGGCTTGACAACGATACGAGGCTCTTCACATGTGGATTCACATGTGGGTTCTATTATGATTTGGAGGTTTTCTCGAACCCCAACAGATAGAACTATACCAGAACTTGCCATGTATACGACACAGACTCAAGTGGCTAACTTTGTCTTCATACACAGATGGAGAACTGTAACATACCTTTCAATCTATATGATCCTTTTCCCGTGAACCATATATACCTTTTCTTTTGCACTTTGATGTGTGATGTGTGACTGTTATCTTCTTGCAACATTGGAAATCATGTAAGACCCAGATTCAGACAAAAAAGATAAGAGGAAACTGTACGTCTTGTGAGCCATTAGAAGTTAGAACAGGTGGACATGATTGTTTCCTTCAGCAACTTAATTATATGGTCCAAGGAAAGGGTTATAAGGTTAGAACCTAGACCGTTAATTGATGTCTTACCATCTAAGAGCTCCAAATTAACCAAATTAAGCCAAATCAAAATAGTCTAGATTGCAATTTTTTCCTTTCTAGGCAAAGTTTTGTAGTGTCTGACATCATAATTTTAGTCCCTAGGATGTAAAATGTGCCTTGATTTCAAGTGTCAAGTTTTGCAGTATCTAACAAGGCCTTAGTCAAGTGCCAAGGTTGAAGCTCCAATTTTTAAAGGTTCTGGTTCATATTTCACAAGCTGCAAGTTTCTTCGGGTTTTGTCCAACAAGGATTTGTTGTAATTTATACGATTAATAATTTATTGTATTGATTCCATAATTGTGGGTTGTATTATATGTGTAATCACAGAGCATAATTAGTGCCTATTTGGGATTGTGAGGGCTTATCCAATAGCACTTCATTTAGTATAGCTTTCGATAAAAGTATTTATTAAATATGGAAAAAATGCGCTTTTCATCCCTATTGTTTGGGATGTTGGACAATTTCATCCCTAAAGTTTCATGTAAACACATTTCATCCTCATAGATTCATAAATTTGACTAATTAAGGACAATTGATGGATTGTCAAGCAATTTGAATGAAACATGATCACTTGACCATATCATGCCCGTTTGTAAAATACAAAAAATATTGGATCAACAAAAACCTCAAATATCGTTTTTAATTCACTTTCTTATTTTACAAAAAAACTAAGAAATTTTCAACCACCATTACTCTCGTCTTAATCATAAATTGAACAAAAAGATCAAGAGGAAACAAAGTTGTGGTGAAGAAACAAACCCATTATAGCCAATTGGAGAAAATTTTTAAACAATCCCATCACTACCAATTGGAGGAAAATATTAACGTGAAAGAAAGAATTGTTTAGATTGTCATTTATTTGCAAAATTTTGTTTTGTTGTATCATATACATGTTTTTCAAACTGTCTATCAATCATCCAAATTTATTTTTCTCTCACATACATCATATCACAAATTTAAAAAAAAAAACTCTTATCCGAACACACTCATTATTATTTATGGAATTTAATCAATGATCGAATTAAGTATTAACAATGCAATTATTAACTGGACATGCGAGTCATTTGATGATATTCGATCCAAATTGGTTAGCAATCATTCAATTATCCTCAATTGTTCAAATTTATGAAACTATGAGGATGAAATGTGTTTGCATAAAACTTTACGGATGAAATTGGTTAAAATTACAAAACTATGAGGATGAAGTATATTTTGACTGAAATTTTGAGGGCTAAATTGTCCAACACCCCAAACATTGGAGATAAAAAGTGCATTTTCCCTATTAAAAATTTAATAAAATGTGCATAAGTGTTTTTGAATTTTTGAAATGTAATTAATTATCTCTTTAGTTAGTTCAAATTTATGACGAAATTATCAAAGTCTATTTTTATTTTTTGAAACATATAAAAGCACTAACTTTTAGCTTTTGCCAAAAGTGCTTTTCAAAATTCCTAATGTTTGGATTGTAAATTATTTGAGATAATTTTGTGAAAAAGTACCGTAGCACTTTTTTTGATATAATGTATGTGAGATAAAAAGGTGATTGGAAAATGTGTTGATGATGCAAGCAAATCAGTGCGTGTAAATAAGGTGTAAATAAAATGAAATAATCTTCAATCCAAACACAAACAAGAGCTCCGGAATCCCATATAGGCTCTCAATTTCTTATTTTTCTAAAGTTTGTCAGTGCAAAAAAGATTGAAATTTAAATAGCCGATTACTCATGATTGAACTCAAACTTGGTTCATGCCTAAGGGCAATCATTTCTCTTTTCTTAAAGGATGATTCCATTGTCATCAACTCATCATCTCCGTTGGCGCCCCACTCTTTTTTCTTTTTATTTTCTCTATTATTTGAAACGAAAATCTCTCTTTGCTGCCTGTACATTAAATCTCGCATTTTCCTAGTTTTCTTAGTTTTCTTTCTCCCTAGCTATTTTATCCCAAAACTCATAAACCGAGAAAATCTCTCAAAATTCCTTCATGAGTGAAATTCAACTTAAATTTCAGTTGCATGACATAATAGACGAGGGATTCTAAAAGAGAAAGTTGCACCATCACAGAGTAAAAGGAGTGCTTTGCCAAATTTCAATTTACCGGTTAGCTTTGAATTGAAGCCTGCTTCGTAAGTAGAATAATTAATAATTCGTTGAGTTGGGCCGTCAAAGAATCTCACAAAGGAATCTTAGCTTAACTAGTTGTCGAAATGGGCTTGTTCACGGCAAAAAAGTTTTTGGCCCAGTTTATCTGTTACAGGTTTTTTAATAATTTTTAGTTACAGTAATCTCAAAAAACTTTTTAAAATTTTTAAATTATATATTTCAAAATATTCAAAAATTTACACACTTAAAAATTTTTCTTACAACTTTTACAATAGATTACAGTAAAATTTTAGACAAACACCTAAAAAACTCATTTGTCAAATGGAGCCATAGTTTCTGAAGTTGAAGATTATATCAACATTAAGAATTAGGGAATCCATACGTGTGGGTTGGATTAGAGATCTGACTTATTATGATTACACCTAAGAGACATTTGTGTAAGTTAGTTGTATTATTGAAAATTTAATTTTAATGAGGATTTTAGGACTTTTTAAACGTGTAACTTTTATAGTTTTAGTTCTTACACATATCCAGTTTCTTGCATTTGTCAATATTGTCCTCGGGGAAAAAAAGAATCGAAATCTAATTAGCCAATTACTCATTATTGAACTCAAAATTGGTCAAGGGTCTCACCTTAAACGAATATTCAATTGTCATCATCTCCCTTGGCGCCCTACTGTATTTGTTCTACCTCTACAATAAATCTTACAATTCCCTACTTTTCTTTTAGGATTAACTTTTTACAGACTTAAATTGCAGTGATTTTTATACACTAGCAGTTATAGATATATGTTACATGTACATGATTTGAATTTCAAATTTGAATTCATATTATGTAACATGATTTTAAAAAAATAATTATACATTGACAGTGTATAAAAACAATTACTTTTTTTAACCTAACTTTTTTAGGATAAATTTTATATGCACTGTCGATGGCTATACTAGCAAGTCAATATGCATATCAGATGAGCAAATTTTAAAATTCAACTCCAAATTAAGATGATGTTGGTATATACTGTAGGAGGACCGTTGATGTATATACTATCAGTGTATATAAAATTAATCCTTTTTTTTTTCACAAAACTCTTAAACAAAGAAAAACACTCCAAATTCCTTCAAGAGACACTCCTTTATTTTATTCGAATATTTAGTTATAATTCAGCTCAAATTCCAGAATAAGTTGCACTATCACAATAAATAGAGGCGGGTGCTTTTGTCAAATTGGAACTTTCAAGACAGCTTAAATCCTGCGTTAGCGTCACATGCTTGAATGAATTCGTGAGTTGGGCCTCAGACTATCATCGACACTTCCAGTCCAAGTTACACTATTAAGTATTATAGCTGGGCTTTTGTCATTTAACACACATCAAAATGTTAACTCTTAAACTAGTTGAAATTTTTCAGCGCCTTCCCTTAGCAGTTTGATAATTTAAATTGGCCCATTTTGTGACAGTCAACCCAAACAAACATTGCGCATGATTTGGTTTGGGATTAGCCTGAAGGGCACAAGTGTGTTTAGATTGAATTACTTGAAAAATTTATTGAAATTATGCTTTGAGGGAGATTATCAACCAACTTTCTACCCTTTTTTAAAATGGAAGAAGCACTGTCCCAACAAAATTATTGAATAGCCCAAATTTGAAACTTCTGTATTTAGCTTGCTCCGTAAAATTGATAATCCTCTAAAATTTCAAATATTCAAACTCAAGACGGCAAAATAATGGCTAAAAAAACTCACTGTAACTTATTGTAATTTTTTCATAAAAACTTTTGGACATTTGAATGTTTGGGGAATGGTTTAGAAACTTTTTTAATTTTTTTGTTCACTCTTTTCCTCCCCCATCCTTACCCCTCCCCACCAAACCCCCTATCTTCTCTCTCCCAGTGCTACTAGCACCACCCCTCCTTTCACTTCCCTCTTTTTTTTTTTTTGGCCCTTCATCCTCCCTATTTCTCCTTTTCCTTTCTGCTTCCCTCTTCTTCGTCTTCCTCTCTTCCCCTACTACTCCCTCTCTCCTCGTCCCGTTCACCCCACCTCTCTCCCCTTCTCTGTGTTTTCTTCTTTTTTTTTCAAATTAATTCTAATTGTCATTGTAATTAGCACACATTTTTTCATGAAAAGGAGAAAAATAAAGATAAACAAATGAAAGATTGGATGTGAATGAAAATGGAACTTTCAAAATAAATAGAAGAAGTTGATAATGATTCTTTTTTGTTGGATGTTAATTTTTTTTATTTGAAAACCAAAAATTGAATGGTATTTTTGTTAGTTTTGAACTCTATATATTTTTAATTTTTTTTACTTTAGTTCTTTACTGTATGTTTAGAAAAATACCCATGGATATTCATTGAATACTCAAACCCATTGTTGGGCTTATGTTTTATCCCAAATCCAACAAATAAACTATTAGTGGGATAAAACCCAAATCCAACACCTATGAGAGTTAAGAGTCTGGATTTGGATCTAACTAAATTTAATGGATTTGGATTTGGATCAAAAGAATTAACTCATACCCTACCTATTGACATGTCTAACTGCAATGGCGGTGGGATGAGGTAAGGTGGAAGTGGAAATAGTTAGGGAGGGCGGTGGTTGAAAAGGGAGATGGATTGTGTTTTTGAGTATTTTGGGGTGTGTTTTTATAAAAACTTAGGGTATTTTTATAAGTTCTTGCAGCTAAAATTAGAAAAAAAATTTGTTTAAAACAAATGAGTAAAAAACATGGGTTCCAAATACACCTAATATACCGAGTAAAGTACATGAAAATGTAACAAGATAAAAATCTATAAATGGTCCCTAAACATTTTCTTTTCTTTCATTTTGCTGCAAATTTGCAATCCTTAGCACTTACATCATTCCTTTTCAAGATTAATTAAAGAGCTAAAAAACTGCCAAAAAGAATTTAGTATAGCTTTCTACGCTAATTCTCAGTAGCAAACTAATCAAAGAGCCAAAAGTTAGGCCATACGGACGGGCCTCTTAATTTTTAGGTAGGGAAAAGAAAGTAGCTCAAAATTTTGTCCTTTTCTTATAAATTACTGGCCCTATCGATATCGGACACCTTTCGTCAATCTTTTCTCACCAAACTAACTTGTCAATATACGATTTTAGGGGCAATTAAGCCTAAACAGATATACATAGCGCTACGTGAAAAGGAATAAAAAAAATTAAATTCGTATTTAGATATCCGAATCCAACTGCCAAAAGGATATGCTCATAATTTTACGCGCTAAGGCATCAAGAAAACAGCTGGGAAAATATAACAGGAAACACATTTCCTACTTGAACTCGGAAACCCTTTACTTGTATAAATCCAGATCCTGAATTTCATCAGATTACCCAATCAAAAATCTAGAGCAGGGTTTCATTTGTTCTTGACTTATCAAGATGAAGAAGATGAGAGCAACTAAAAGAAGAAAATTGGTGCAAGCTCCCATTCACGATGGAGTTCTTAATGAATGCCGGTACCCCAGAAAAGGGTTGAAGATGGAGGCTGCGTCATCTTACATTCCCAAAGACAACGAGGAAAAGCCCTTAGGAGAAGATGCCTGCTTCATCTGTGAAGAAACGCAGACCATTGGGGTGGCAGATGGGGTGGGGAGTTGGGGGAAAAAGGGCATAGATGCCGGCGAATACGCGAGAGAGCTGATGAATAATGCATCCTTTTCGGTTCTTGAACAGGCGGAGGAGGAGGGTTCTGTTTGTCCCTTGCAAGTGTTGCATGAAGCTTACTGGATGACTAAGGCAAAAGGGTCATCCACTGCATGCATTGTGACCCTAAAGGAAGATTTCTTGCATGCTGTGAATATCGGAGACAGTGGTTTCTTGGTGATCAAGAAAGGGAAAGCTGTGTTCCAGTCGCCCGCCATGCAGAAGCGGTTTAACTGTCCGTATCAGCTTGGAAACGAGAGGGATACTCCGGATTCGGCCCAAGAATTCAAGGTTGATGTGGAGCATGATGATGTTTTGGTGGTGGGAACTGATGGTTTGTTTGATAACTTGTTTCCTCACCAGATAGGGTCTATAGTGCATAATTGTGTGGAAGGGAAGTTGTCGCCTAAGATGATGGCTAGTCTTATAGCAGAACTTGCTTGGTATCATTCTCTTCAGAAGGATCGTTCAACTCCCTACACCAAGTCTGCCATGGAAGTGGGACTGGTTCAGGAGAATTATTTGGGAGGCAAGTATGATGATGTTACTGTAGCTGTTGCTAAGATTGTATAGAGATCTTCATGGTCGACCAACATCAAAAGGATCAGTTGTTTTCTAAGTTATCATGAGTTCATCACTTGCAGTGTTTCTTGCGGCTCTGAAGGACTAGTAATTAAACAGAGTTCTGTGATTTGTTGAGTGTTTTTGTACACATGATATGTTGCTGCTGCAATTTGTTCATTAGGGTTATTTCCTTTTGCAACTTCTCTTGGAGAAAGACGAAAAGGTACTGCTAAAATTTCCAACTTCCTGAAAAACCCAAATTACTTATTATTGCCATTTGCTAATAACAATAATCTGATTTTCCTACCAAGATCAAGCCAGTGCCATGCAGACAACATAGGCACATGAATCGCGATGCATTGATGCCTTCACTAACAGTTGTAAGCAACAATAAATAAAGAGCATGCTTTGGAGTTGAATTGAATACATTGATTCTGCACAAAACTTTACATTCAACCAAAGATTAGTTAGTTCCTCAACAAGATTAAAGGTTCCAAAATTAATGCAATGGGGGCTGGACAAACGACTCGGTTCCTTGCTATTGCTGAGAACATTGGGGTACTGTATGTCAAATTAATCAATCGAATAGTACCAAGTAGCATTTAAATCCGAAAAGGGGTCTCTTGATCATTGGGGAATTGAAGTGTCAATTTTGTCTACATGCAAAGACTGCTTCAAAGCAAAGGCGCCAGTATATTGTGTACGGCAGAGCCATCCATGGCAATCTTGAAGGATAAGTAGTCCCGGGAGCAGATAGAATTCTGCAGCAAAACAGCAGGACCAATGGAGGAATAAGTAAGCAACACGGACCAAAATTTGCAGCCAAAATAGCATACAAGGGGCAACTGCATTAGGAACCAGGACAAAAAGTGCTGAAAAGTGGAGAGTGCAAGTTGATGACAAAAATAATAAGCAATAGCAGAAGCAACCTACCTTTTTCCTGTTAGAATACCATACGCTGACGAGCTGATAGCTGTCCTACAAACAACTGAATAGATGTATCTGTAGCTTGGGCAGATCAATTCACCTGTGAATTAATAAAGAACCATATCAGAAATATCAAAGCCAATGATACATAGAATAGTTACTGAACAGGTTTCAAAATGAATTGCCAAGATAAATACAACACTGGCCCCAATCTCCAATAACAATGCAAGAAAGGTTAACCAAATTAAATTTTTGAGTGTTAAAACTCGCATACAATAATCCAACATATAACAGTATTAGAGGACAATGGTTGCCTTATCAGTAGCTAAACTGGAAATAATGAGAAATACACAAATGTGAACAAGTAGGACATACCTAAGCTCAAGTAGTTGCTGTGCAGAACTGAAACCAGAACAAGTGTTTTATGACCACCACTTCTTGGGATTTTTGTTGACTTCTTTGACAACGAGCCGTTTAGTTCAAGAGGATCAATTACTGAAGGAACAGTTGTTCCATGTTGACGAGATACAATTTCTAGCCATATCCCAGAAGGAAACCTTTTCTTCCGCATCAACCAAAGAAAGGCGCTGTTGTATGGGGTAGTATGAATAACAGATATGCTGACTTCCATTACTACGCAGATAAAACTGATGACTGTGTTCATGATGGTAAAGAATGTGTAGAAGACAGAGGTGGTTGGCAATAGAAGTAAGAGTGGTGTAAAGAGAAGAGAGCCAACGACATGTTGCTCCACAGTGTAATCATAGCTATCTAATCTCTGGCGAAGAGGATTCCACTTCCTTCCCCTGCATTCAGTTCAAACGAGTGAGAAAATTTCAAAAAAAGTAAATAATAACAATAATATTAATAATATTAATAAAGTACACACAATTTTCTGGAAGTCTTAGCATTCAGTACATGACAGGTGAAGCAGATAATATTTCAATGACACAATTTGTACTACTTACAAGAAAACAACTGCAATTAATATACATTTATTGGGTGAATTTATTTAGATGAACATCCAGATACACGAGTTAGCAGGTTGATGGAGTTTTTAACAACCCTATATGCATTTGAATAGGTTCGATTAACTTAAGCATAGATAATCCTATCTAATTAAAAATGACAAAGGGAGCCAAAAGTCAACTTCATAAACAAGTAGTTGCATCACTTCCTTTCTGCATCTGAGTGATTCCTACAGCTCCAAAGCATTTTATTTCAGCAACAGGCTAGGTTCAGAAAACATCCATTCCATTTATCTCACATTGACTGTCAGTTGGCTGCTCTAACAAGTTTATTTGCAAAGAACATTGGATGGCAGGTAAACTAAGCACTGTTGTTTAATCAAAAACTTTCATTAGACATATATTAACAACAAATAAGGATTATATCCCAAGTCAATGTTGCACACCTGGATCAGTTATAGATTTATGAAAACAGAGGGAGGGAAAGGTTCACAAACATAAATACTTTCAGGTGTGAATTTTAATGCATCCATGTAGTCATACTCCTACCTAGTGTTTGAGCTCTTTTAAAGGGAACAAAGAAAGAAATTCAAAGGTTGGTAAAGGTATTCAGCAGGCACAGGGTGGTCACTAATCAAAAAATAAACTTTCCAAGGTAGAAAAGTAATTGATTTCCAATACACAGTAATCATTATAAACAAAACTCACTCTCTTAATTCAAATATGTTCAAAACTATCACACAAGTTCATTTACTGCACAGCGTAATGATCTGGGAATTTTTAGAAATAACTTAGTAGTTGCTGATTTAAGCATTTAATCAATAAGCAATGAAACTTGAATTAATGGGTTACCCAAAAAGATTATTTTCCCCAGCTATAACAGAGGCTTCATATAGAAGAATTTTTGTAAAAGGCCAGTCTCGGTACACTGGAATTCTTTTGTCTAAAGAAGGGGCTAACATAACCTCTATAATTACTCTTTCTGCTCCATGATTTAGAAATTTATAGTTTTTTATTTTGCAAAACAAATCACAGGACAATGATATTAAGAAACACGAAAGTTCAAATGTGCAACACCTGAGTAAATTCCTGCCTTTACAGAAGCTTAAAAGAAAAGATAGTATCTTTCAATTTAAGAATTTTCTGTAGCTTCCGAAAGTGCTCTCCCTTATCTGTAAACCAAAATTGACAACTACTGAGTCTATACTTAAGGACAGTAACCATCTAATTACACAGTAGAACTCCATAAGTATTACCTAAAAAGACGCCATAAAGCTGCCAATGCCTGAATCTGCTGTGAATAGACAAGTGAGAGTATCCAATGAAGGACGAAAACATGTCTTGTTACGAGTGAAATCAAGTCGATTATCAGAGCAGCAGCTGTGGTGAAACCAAAAAGAATCCCACATAGAGAAATAGCTTTAGCAATTGGTACAAGGAAAAAATCCATAAACGACCCAAGTGTAGACCAAATTTGAATAGTGTTCAGAGACATCATGCCAAGTACTCCAGCAAGCTCAGTGTTTAATTTGAAACCAGCTGGATTTCCCATTAGCCAAACACATCCGGTACGCAGCAAATAGTTTGTGACATCAACAGCGAAGTTTGAAATGTATAGGCAAGCAGGTTCTGCTTGATACCATAATGAAATGCCAAATAAGTTTCCAAGAAGAACATCAACCACTAGACATGACCAGATGGAATGCCTGCGTAATGCCACTTTCTCTGAATATTCAATGCATGATTTAGACCTGTAATAAATCCAAATAATGAGGTGATAAAGGATCTCTCAAAATTGATACAGACACCTAATGATGTCAAACATAAAATAAATCACAAAGCCTATTTTGTCAACTGTGGAATTGCCCAGAACAAAGAATTATTTTATGAGTTCTTTATAGGAACAATTGCTATAGTTGTACAACCTCAAGCAAATCACCGACATTGTTTGTAACTTGATCAGGCAAATTTTAAACTTGAAATTCAAACATGAGAAAAATAAAGAATAAATTTTAGTTTAGCAAGAGGCTGAAGCCTTAATGAATTTACATTTTTTAAGACTGGGTAAAACGTGTTACAATAACAATTCGAGAATAAAGCTATTAAGGAAACACAATATTCTTACTACCTATGACCATGACCTTGGAGTAAGATTGGCCAATAGAGGAACTGGGAGCAGCGTATCCCAACATTCGTCCATGCATTGTTGAATGCTCTCACTAACACCACATCTATGCCTATACACGACATGTAACTCAGAAGGATATGGAAAGACTGAAGAATGACGTAAACTGAAGTTGCAAGCAAAGCCACGAGTGCAGCAAAAAATTTCCATGTAAAGGTAGGAAACCTGAAAAGTTATTTAATAGCTGTTATGACCAGCTAAGAAACAAAAGCATCAACGGAACCAGGAAAAATCAAAATATAGAAGATATTACATCCATAAAGGCTTGAAATGACCAGCGAAACTCTTCACAGGCAGCTGCCTTTCTGAAAGGATCTTAGCAGCATTAGCACTGTTAATAGCCAGAATGACAGTGTCCTGTATCAACAAAGGAACAAATATTACTGAAGGAAATATAATTAGACAGTATAACTGCTTTCGAGATGTATCAACTTCAACACTGATATTACCAGATCAAGATATTGCTTCTTCTGCTTGAGATCTTCAAACCATTGGGGTTTCTTGATAGAAGATCTCATCTTCTCAGACAAACTCCAAGAACCCAGTGAATAGTGGTGGCTACTAAATTTTGGAATTTCATAAATGATAACCTAATATGCAGCACAACAATGAAGAGATTAGGTACTACAAAAACTAAGCCGAGAGAGGAAAAATACACAGATAAACTTCAAGTGACCATGACTTACATACGTGGAGATCTAACTGAGAAATGGTTTCCCCATTCCAATGCATGTGATGCAATTCTGGAATGAGCTGCAATTTTCGACCTGTAGTTTGAGGAAAACCAGAAATAAGTTGGAACCAGTTCTCATTTTGTACAAAAGCCAGCCTAAGCTGTTCCAGTAATGCATGAACCTTGTGGCATCCACATGCATGAATTCCATTCTTGCCCACAACTACCCTCTGGCTACCAGGGAAGGTTTTCCCACCATCAGTTGAGCACGTCTGAGTAACTGTTTTAGTTAAATTCATTTCTGGCTGACCATTGCCACTTGAATCTGCTTCACAATAACCCAGCACGGAAAGTGTACATTTATCTTGTAGGGATAGAGGCATGTTCCCATCTGTTTGATGAAGAATTTCCTAAGTTACGAAAGCAGGGTCAGTTATGATAGCTTGTCATTTCAAAAATGTATATCCTAGACAACCAATATATGAAATAAACCCTATTCACAAGTTTAATTGAACAGGATTTATGCAACAAAAGTGCCAGTACAAAAGTAATACGATCACATATCAGCCTCTCGCTAAATCTTTAGAATGACATGATTTGGCAAACTATAGTCAGCAGAAAAAGAGTACAGTTTATGTGTTTAACCCTTCTGCTAAGTTAGTAATGAAATCAGGAAATCTCACTGAAATTTCAACAAAGCCAACCATATAAAAATCTTCATTGGAGAATTAATACTGAAACAGACTATTATCAGGGAAAGCTACATTTCTAGTCTGCACAAATTAACAGGAGGCTGATTTCAAAGTTTAGAAACTGGGAAATTGGCAAGCAAAATTGTCCATCCACAACTTCTTCCCAAGAAGATGTTGAGGCAGGCTCAGAGTAAGTCTTCTTTGTTAAGACAATGCAGAAAAGACCAACCCCCTCAATCAAGAGGTTTAGAATACAGTTGCAAAACTGCAATATCAGTTAAGTGTTTGTCTAATTAGCAACCATCAATCTGTTAACAGTACCAATGTAGGCATTTCTTCACGAAAGATTCTTCCAACCACTATCATCAGAGATACAGTTCAAACAGAATAACCTAATAAATTACCACAAAATTATTCACAATTTCCGCTTATTCTCACCATGCCCCTTCCATCCCCCGCATACAATAAAAAATCTTAATGTGTCCCAAATAATGGCTTCTTAATAAGAACAAATGAATTTATGAAGCTTAAACAAATTGAAGGAAGCAACATATTAAGACTAATAGCCCTTCTCAATTATATGTCATAAATTTCAATTAATGACCGTTCCGACCATGCAATTACTACCCTAACAACAACTGACTACTAGTTGATGACGTACTACCGGATAGAACTATCCAGATTAAAACTCAACTTACATAGCCAAAACTGATATGATCAACAACAAACTTAACTGAAAAATCATCAGTAAGTACAGAAAAAAAATATACAAAGCGCAAAACCCTCGACTCACAGCGATAATCAACTCTCCAGTAGATAAAGAAACAAAAAATTGGAAAGATTATTCTGGGGTACATTTGCACATACTGCGAATCCCAACTAATTAAAACAATAAACAAAATTGAACCCATTTCTAATCATCCATAAACACAGCTAAGTCAGCTAAGCAAACAGCATAAATCAGTGATAAAAATCAATCTTGATTTTTAGAGCAGTTTCTGAACTAATTAACTAATTACCTGAAGATTTACAGAAGAAGAAACAAGTGCAGAATCCTCCAAGGCAAAAGCGACGACGATATCAAGGGAGGGCTCCGAAGAAGAAAAGGAGGAGGACTGGGAAGAAATGAACCAACCGAAGAAAAGAGTGAAGGAGTGGGAAGGAGAATGGGGTTGAAGGGTTGAGGAAAGATGGGCTGGCCACCATAGCCTGCATTTCCCTCCTTTTTTCCCCATAAATCTAATTAACACAGACACATTTTCTCCGAAACAAGAAATTTTTTGGCCATTTTGGGAAGGAATGTTGGTTGGGAGAACAAAATGTGGCAAAATCAACTTCTGTGAGGGTTTAAGAATGTAGGCGGAGATGCAGAGGAAGTGAATAGTGCAGCTTTTCTTCTCTTCTTTACTTTTTTTTTTTTTTTTTTTTTTTTTTTTTTTTTCCCTTTTTCTTTGTTGGTTCGGGTTCTCTCTCCTTTTTTTTTTGTTTTGTTTTTTTTTTTTTAAGTTGAGAGAAAGGGTGTAAATATATTGATTGAAAGGAAAAAGAGAAATTAGATGGGTTAAACCTTGTTTCAATTTGAATAATAACCATTGATTTGAGATGTTTTACAAACCCCTAATCCTTTTTTTTAGAAAAAAATTATGAATTTTTCCCTTAGTAAAAACTCCCAAGGGAATAAGTACTTAAACCACTTTGAATTTATAGTTTAGCCCTCAAAAGACAAATTAATATGTATTATTATGACATTTGAGGCTCTCAAAAATCAAATACATTTTACCTTTTAGAAGTCAAACTAAAGGAACCAATAATACAATATATATGAATTGCAAGGGAAATATTATAGATTGAGGGACACTAAGAGAATTTCCATATGGGCTTTTTAAATGTTTCTAAGGTCTAAAAATTGGTTTTTTTTTTTTTTTTTTGCCTTCTAACAAAGAATTTCCAAAGGAGCAATTGATATTTTTGGGGGGTTAATCTTTATGAATAAAAATATAAGGTAAATCAATAGTGAATCTTGCCATATTGAAGTGTGAATCTAAAATATAAAATATTTTAAGTATATGACTAGACTAATGTGCTACCAATACCATGGTGTGAAAAACCATTTTTTTCACTTTTACAAAATTCTATGAAGTTCCTTATCATTAGGAGGTCATGAATATGATTAATCTTTAAAATATAAAAACTGCATGAGCAAGTTCTTTAGTTTAGCTTTACCAAATCTTCAATTACCAGAGAACAAGATTAAACTGAGTTTTCATTTATGGTCAAATGCAGCAATAGAGACTAGTTTTGCTAAATTAATTCACGAAAATCAGAGAGAATTAGGTGTTGCAAATTTGCAATTAGAGTAACAGGTGATAGAAGTGGGATAGATATGCTCGTACCGTGTGCATCGACAAATGTACCATTTCAAAAAGAACAATCACATGAGAGAAAATGAACCATTTAATTCCTAAACTTTTTTTACCCACATTGATTTAGTCCTTTACTTTTATTTCTAACCAATTTGATACTTGAACTTATTTTGCAATTCTAATTAAGGACATCTATGATGGAATCACTGTCTAAAACCGATCTAAATTCTAATTGATTAACTAAACATAGGTTTTATAAGAACATCACTTGTGAAACTATAATAAAACAAAGTAAATCATGTAAAAAATTATTGAATAAAACTTTTAAATCGTATAAAAAATTACTAAATAAAACTTTTTAAAAATTTAATATTATGATTTTTTATATGATTTACTTAATTTATTACTGTCTCATTAGTGACGCTTTCAAAATTCTCCTATTTAATTGATCAATTTGGATTTAGATTGATTTTAGGTGATGGCGTTGTCATAGGGGTCTTACATTAGAGCTGCAAAATAAAGTCCCATATCAAATTGGCTGAAAATAAAACTTAGGAAATAAATCCATACTAATGAAAAGATTTGGGGACGAAATTGACCATTTATTCATCATTTGAAGCTTTGGTCAGCCGTGGCTTTGCAAATTATCCTGGCAATAAAATATTGCAGTCGGATTAGATATGCAGATTGCATAAACATTTTTTCGGAGGGGAAAAAAAAGGAACCCGAGTTCCGCATTACTATGCCTAAAATAGATTTTAATAACAAAGCAGAAGGAAAAAGAAAAGGCAAAAAAGGGTCCAGACTCCAGCATCTCAGGGGTTTAGCGGAAGAAATCTCTTCTGGGCTAGAAGAAAGCAAAGCACTGAACAAAAATGGCAGCAGCTTTGCCATATGCACCACCTCTATATTCAGCTGTTTGTAATTTCAACGTTAAATTGTATGTAAAGAACTCTATTTGTTCAAATGGTTTTGCAAGGCCTCGATTTTTCACAGGTACGTATGTGATTTCTTGTCTACTTCTTTCTTTTACATTCTGCTTAAATTACTGTAGTTTGTACTTATTAGCCAAAACCCACTTGGAAAAATAATTTCTTTACAGGTCTGAGTAAGAAAAGCGGCAGGAGTAGTTGTGAAATTAGGTGTAGTCAATCGACAACAATCAAGAAAACAGAGAAAGATAGCGGAAAAGGTCATAGGAAAGGTGAAGGGAGGTTGATTTTGAGTGAAGGAAGAGATCAGGATGAGAGTTATGAGTCTATTTGCCCTGGTTGTGGAGTTTTCATGCAAGATAAGGACCCTAATCTTCCTGGTTTTTATAAGAAAAAGAAGGTGGAACTTAGTGAGGTCATAGGGGATGAGGATGAGGAGGATTTAATGGATGATGAATTTGATGATTTTGATGAGGAGGATGAGGAATTTGAGGATGGCATTGAGGGGCAATTAGAAGGGAGTGATGATGGGGTTGAAGGAAGATTTCAGGGTGCAGATGGGGTTGATTGGGATTTGGAAGAGTTGGAAAACGAATTTGAGAAAGAAGATGATGAGTTAAAGGAGTTGGATGGGTTTGGTCCAGCTGGTGTTGGTTATGGTAACATTACAGAAGAGGTTGTGGAGAAGGGGAAGAAGATAAAGTTGTCGAAAGCAGAGAGAAAAAGGATGAATAGGGAAGCTCGGAAGGACAAAGAGGAGGTGACAGTATGCGCTCGATGTCATTCTTTGAGGAATTATGGGCAGGTTAAGAATCAAGTAGCTGAGAATTTGATACCGGATTTTGATTTTGATAGGTTGGTAACCACCAAGTTAATAAAACCCACAGGCGTTGCTGATGCTACGGTTGTGGTTATGGTGGTTGATTGTGCTGATTTTGATGGTTCATTTCCTAAGCGAGCAGCAAAGTCTTTGTTCAAGGCTCTGGAAGGAAGCAGAGATGGTTTCAAGTCTAACAAGAAGCTGCCAAAGCTTGTTTTGGTGGCTACGAAGGTTGATCTTCTTCCATCGCAGATTTCCCCAGCAAGGTTAGATAGATGGGTCCGCCACCGTGCCAAGGCAAACGGAGCACCTAAGCTGAGTGGGGTTTATCTAGTTAGTGCTCGTAAGGACCTGGGAGTGAGGAATTTGCTGGCATTTATTAAGGAGTTGGCTGGACCAAGAGGGAACGTCTGGGTAATTGGAGCTCAGAATGCTGGGAAGTCAACATTGATTAATTCATTTGCTAGAAAAGGAGGAGTCAAAGTTACAAAGCTTACTGAAGCTGCTGTTCCTGGGACAACACTGGGGATATTGAGGATTGGAGGAATATTATCTGCCAAAGCAAAAATGTATGATACACCAGGCCTGCTACATCCATATCTCATGTCCATGAGATTAAACAGGGAGGAGCAAAAAATGGTTGAGATACGGAAGGAGCTTCAACCTCGAAGCTATAGGATCAAGGCAGGCCATTACTCTTATTTGCATGCCAAAGCTTATAAAAAAATGCTGTCTGTTTCAGTATAAACACACGTCAAGGAGGTTCTTAGATGTTAGAGTTATGGATAGAAACCCTCATCCTTATTCCAATACTTAGATGCAGTTGATTAGTTGTGGCACATTGGCATAAATAGGGGTTTTTCAGGCCACTAAATTAATTGAATAATTTTTTCTATTGAAAATGTAATGGGAAACTGATGATTAATGTAAGACAAAGCAGTAGGTGAGGTCTTGCCACTATTCCTCTTTGACATGATTTAATCTGATTTTGTTTGATAGTTGCTGAGAATTTGGTCTCGAGGATGGAGTAATGTTGAGATTTTATATGTCCATGAGATCGAAAAGAACTCCCTTTTTGTTCTTCCATCCAATATAGCATCTTCTCTTACTGGCTCATTGAATGATGGCTAGAAAAGCTGCTTTAGTAGTCCAAGCTGGGGAAGAGAGTAATATAAATAGTTATAATCGCAATACATAAGTTCATAATTCTGTTACAGCCATGGATTAATTCTTTTCTCTGTTGCTTCAGTTTGATTCTTCCAACTTTTGGTGGGAGGTGCCATGTGTGTATATTATTGTTTATCTTGAACTGTTGATAATTTTTTCGCTTTTTTTTTCCCCCTGCCAGCATTTTGCTTTTGTTATGCAAATATATTTGAGTATTGCTGTGTGGAAATGCCAGAGCATAGATGTCGGTTTATTTTCAAGATTGTTTTCTCTTTGGAGAAACATTTTTTTGTTGGCTCTAATGGAATTTGTTAATATTCCAGGCAGGTCAGACTGTACATGTTGGTGCCTTAGCAAGACTAGATCTTATCCAGTCTTCTGTAGAGACAATCTATGTCACTGTCTGGGCATCTGCAAATGTTTCTCTCCACCTAGGAAAGACAGAAAATGCTGATGAGATCAAGATCAAGCATGGGGGAGTCAGGTTACAGGTAATGCACCAACTTATATACACCATCTTTATCACATTTGCTGCTGTGAAGGCTCCTTAACTACAGAACTCATGAATATTATAAATTTAGTCTGAATCAAGTTTTGGTATAATTCCTGCTTTTGGGTTATTGGCTTATTGGGAAGACAAACAAATATAGATATCCATGTTGGTACTTGGGTATATGCTGTGTTCATTCTACTAGATTGCCTCTCAGATGAATTAGAATTAAGTTGTATACACCCTTTATTCTGGTCCAGTGGAAGTGGAACAATGTATCTAAATGATACACATGTTGTGAAAATCATTTGGTGTTTTTAGTTATAACCAAAATCTAGACTGTGGTGCAATTTATGTTCTATGAAGATTCATCACCAAAATTGAAGCATATGGAGGTCCTGAGATGTTGAAAATTTTAACTGGGTATAAACACCAATGCTCTTTAGACTCTCTTAGAAGCATCGGTGTCACTTATGAGTACTTTAGGCTTTGTTTCAAAAAACGAAAGATATGATACAGCTATGGCATATAATCTAAAGTTGATGACGGAAATGGGTAAATGATACCTCTCAAGAAAGTTAGAAATGAAAAGAATTGATTCCAAATATTTAATTTCCTACCT